TTTCCCTTATTATCCACTGCCTTCTTCCACCCGCACCATCCACCATTCACAATCTTCTTCTGCTCGCCGCTTCCTGTGTAATGCGGATCCAATATTAGGAAGGCACAATCCTCACTCGCTTCGTTATACTCCACTCCCAAAAGGTTATATGCCAAAACCCCACCTCCTGTTCATATATACCAGAGTAAGGAATCCAAAAATTAGTCACAGTTTTCCATCCCTATGGTTGTAATCCTAAACCCTCACAGTTAAGGCTAAACTATCCACGAATTAGCCAAAACCCTGTGTTTGATTAAGCTTGAGAATTATTGATTGATTTGGTGATTTTCTTTTTCGACTTACCAATCATTATTGGGGTTCCTTGATTCCCAAAGTGCGTAGCTAACTCACGGCATTTCTCTGGAAGCTCGGATCCAGATCTCACGTTTATGATTTTGCAGCTCACCTGTGAAAAGAATCAAAAGATATGCACAGTTAACCGACATGAATCAAAAGATATGCATATAGGCTAAACTATCTGCGAAAGATATAAGTGCAGATATCCATTTTTCGCCAACATCACTTGAAGCGCAAAATGAATTTAAACTCGAGGAAGTTCAGGGATAGAAGGCTTACACCAAGAAGTTTATCCAACACAAAACTTAATTCGATGGCCCCGATCCACTCGCGAGATCCTACAAAGGAAGGATCCTTGTCTCCAATCTCCACAAGTGTCTGTTGTATTTCCCTGAAAAGCCAAAAATTTCTTGTCTTAAGCAATGGTCGAGTCCCAAGTAAATTACTCTGCAGGAATCGATTCTCACCTATGAGATGGAACAGCAATGGATGTATAATGTTGAAGTCTGAACCAGGAGACAATAGTTTGCAAGGAACGGTAAGCACAGCCCCAACCCTGGGCAAAAAAGAAGAGAGAAAGCAAGAAGTTAGAAGTACAGAAGCTATCGCTATAATAATGTAGCTAAGTTTCAAGTGAGATGGGATCGTTGTCAAACAATCATAGGAACTCTCTTTTCCCTAGCAAAGGTTGTAATGAAGATATCTACAAGCACAACAACATTGACAGTTATCTATATTTTCTGCTTTTATCATCGTGTTGAATATTGTTTCCTACGCTACTTCATCAGTTGGTATTGAATCATTTCATTCATCTACATAACTTACAAAAAAAAAACTGAGTTGGGAGAGAGAATAAATTTATATACTGAGTCATCGAATCCATCATGAAGATAATGGTAGTACTCATAAGACCCTTGGACAAGAGATGCAGCACCACCCGAGACTGCATCGAAAGTCTGGAGTTAGAAGAACGGATTGCTGGAACAAAACAACGAGGGCAGCAAAAATATAAGCACAAACGTGCTAACCTCCGCTGCTAGGAATTCCAAGATGTACATCTTTGAGCATGGTGGAACCTGACCATGTCAAAATGCATAATTATTGGAATCGATGCAGAATTTGATCAACACACAAACAAAAAAAATTCCGAAGAAATATGCATATGTACCCTTTTCTCTTTAGGTTGCTTCTTGAGTCATCGTTCAAAGATAAATCCAAGGCATTGGCAATTCTCAAGAGCGGGCGATTCAAAGGCAGACCGAGCCTCAAGTGTAGTGATTTTCTAACATCAACTGCAGAGAAAGACACAATTAATAACCATGCGTCAAGTATCACAATATGATCCAGTCATGAAGGGATGAAAACTGCATGCAAAGTTCAGAAGATCAAATTTTCGTATGGAAATCTCAAGTTCATAAGTGTAACAGAATACTCAAATTTGTTAAAGAATACTATTTAAACTAGGGTTCGTCATTATTAGACTGTGACATAACAAGTAAAGCATGGAACTCACAGGTTTGCATCCACCACATGAATCGTCCTACTATTGCAACTCACAATAATGAAAAATGTTTCATTGGAATCTTTATATGGCTCAACTTAAGATAATCTTATTAAAATATAATTCCAAAGATTACCTTGCTTTATTTGTTCCATCAAGAGGCTTGGTAAGATAAGTTTCTTCAGTGAATGTAACTGATTAACCAAAGCAGGGACAACGAAACTTGAAATTGCATGCATAAGTGGAAGATCCTTGGGTGAATAACAAAGTACATCAAGCTCCAAAGTAACAACAATGACCCTAGCTTCTGCCATAGCTGATTAAACAAGAAACAACTAACAAATAAGAACGATAGTATTTGTATATTCATTCATAGTACCTCCAACTAATGCTTGATATGAAAACCTAATTGACGATCCTTCAAGTACTCACCTGGAAAATATTCTGCGACCGGGGCATCGGAGTTTAGAGACTTTTCTGACCTGTTATGCAGAACAGATACTTGAATTTTATCTGCACTCTAAGAAGAAAAAGTTTCAGGGAAGGAGAAAACAAATCAAAGCCAGATGGCAACAACAAAGGGGAAGCAATAAAACAAACATAGAATTATGTTCTCTTACCTCTGCTGAAAATTTTTCTGTAGCTGATTTGCTGTTCAGACAAAAATGTGAACATGACAGCATTTGTTTGTCAGAGCCTCGGTCAGGAGTTCCAAGAAGGTTGATGTTTGATGCAGCAGCATCAAACCCCAAATCTTTTCCACGGAGGATAACTGGTTTTGGTAACTCTCCAGATGCTTTCTGCAGGATCTCAGCCATATATGCAACATTTGGTTCTTTCAACTGGGAAACAACAGCTTCTATTGCATCTGAAAATATCTCCTCACCACCTGATGAGTGTACCCAAAAAAACAAAAGCCCTGCCGATTATTATGTACTCTGTTTACAGACTAGATACTTGCATTTCAACATAGTTATTTTCTGGTCACGTTCCTTGAGGACTGAAATTAAAGACTTCCAGATTGAGAACATACCAGATGGATTTTTTGCAGGAAAGTACAGAGGCAATTTGATCGGTAGCTCACAATGAAGCAAGCAACCAGTCTCCCAAAGATATTTCTCTGGTCTATCCTCGTACACAATGGAAGTAACGGACTCTAACTTGTTTGATTTCTCGCTTTTAGAGACAAAGAAATGAAAGTTGCCAGATTTTGCATCCAGAACACCACCAACCGTCTTTTCGTCATCCAACTCTCCCTTCACTGATAAATGCTTTCGGAGCCGCTCCAACAGCCTCAACGGCATTTTCCTCGGCATCAGAGTTCCCAATTACTAGAGCCCCAATGACTTCAAAACCCCTTGGTAACAACACCCGAAGATCATCTGCTCGAATTTTTCACAGCATGACTAAACTTAAATATTGGACTAAAGAAACATTTACCACACAAGGAAAAAACAACAACAACAACATCGTCTCATTCCCAAGTTTATTTGGGGTCGGCCGCATGAATCATTCTTCTCCACTCCACTCATTTCGATCCCGGGTTAACTCTTTCGGAATCTGTAACACTTCCAAATCGTTTCTAATGACACGCTCCCAAGTAAGTCTAGCTCTACCTCTTCCTTTCCTTTTCACCCCTATACCTATACTCTCCACTTTTCTAATCGGCGCATCTATCGGCCTATGTTGTACATGTCCAAAACACCTTAAATGCCCCTCCCGTACCTTCTCTTCGATATCTATTACTCCTATTTTCTTTCTAATAATCTCATTTCTAATTCTATCCATTCTTGTGTGTCCGCACATCCATCTCAACATCTTCATCTCGACCACACTCATTTTAGACATATGTTGCCCTTTCGCCGCCCAACATTCGCTACCATACAATAATGCGCTGTCTTATAGCGGTACGGTAGAATTTTCCTTTCAACTGTAGGGACCTTACGATCACAAAGAACACAAGGAAAAAAGTAAAGGATTTTTTTGGTAATTTGGTGTAAGAAAAATAAAGGATAGCAGAGTGATGCAGCGAGATTTCATAATTACTTTGGTTTATTTCATGATTTCCTTACTGTGCTAAAATTCTTTTTATTAAGAAAAGGGTTTATGTTCAGAGTTTTTTAAAATGAATTGTGAAAGGTTGAGTTTGTCCCTAATTTCTCTTGTTTCGATATTCTTTCCAGAATCAATGAAATTCAAAAAGAGCTAGATATTCAATGGAGTTCGAGCTATTTATCTATCCCCATTCCGTCACCAAACATGTGATAGAACCACAAAAACATGCATACACAAACTAATGAAAACCCCAGAAAATCAAGTTTAGTGTCTATATGCGATCTCGACCGGGATTGCCCAGAACAAGTTTGAGCATCAACCCGATTCCCAGAAAAAAAAAGCTAAGCATATTGGCTTTCATTCATTACCGTCCTAGAATTACGAACGTAAAACAATGGATGAAGAAATGAACTCCGGAACTCTGAAACCGCGTCAAAACGCAACTAAACACAAAATGCACCGTCCAATATCACATAACAGCCAAATTCTCTCGGGAAACAAAAGTAAACACAGCATGTTACCAGATTCTCGCTCGAAGTCTGGGGAAGACGACGACGGAGGAGCTCGATGGATGCATCGTAAGGTGGAGACGACAGTGAAAGGCGGGAAAAAGGGTGATCCGATGAGCCATTGGAGGCTCGCAGGCTCGTTCCCGGAGATATTGAGCCTCCGGCAAAGAACACGCAGGGTCGTCGTCTCCTTCGAAGCCGCCATG